TCAATTTATCAATGCAATCAGAAACATTTAAATGTAATTGTAACATATTTAGTATAGCATGTGTGTTGCTCTTACATGCATCAGATGGCGCTGTTTTTCAAGAAAAGCATACTTTTACCTGTCACAGGTGTGGCATCTATACTTATACTTACGAAATGAATGGTATGGTAAACAACACAGCTCAATTCCAACTCAATGTCACACAAAATAATTAAATATAAAATTAAATAAGAAGAAATCTATGAAAATAACATTTATCAATGTAATCGGAAACACTGAAATGGAATTCGTGACATATTTAGTATAGCGTGCATGTTGCTATTATGTGCAACAGATGGCGCTGTTTTTCAAAAACGCATGTTTTTACCTGTCACAGGGGTGGCATCTATATTGTAGGTATATAAAAAAACGCGCCTATTCGAATGCAACGTTGTGTCAAAATTTCAAAGCAATCGGTAAAGAGGTCTCACATGAAGAACATAGTTTTTCAGAAAAAGCAAGTTTTTTTACCGTCACTATATATGCATGTATATACAAATTGGTTTAACAATTTTATACGTCGTTACTTAAAAGTTTGCAAACTAGAACTGCACTTTAAACATGTAGCACTGATGGTATTCCATGTTCTTATTAAACATTATTTTGTATTCTTGCCCCATTCATTTACAAGGCTTTTGAACTGATGAGGGAAAGAATATTGTTTGGTCGCAGGGCGGTTGCCAAAAGGGAATCGTTAATTTTACGCTTTTCGGGTGGTTAAAGGTCGGAAATATTTCTGTTTGTTCAAATTGAACATCTATCTAATAGTCGCTCATCAAACCCCGTGTTTGGTAGTTTGGTCCTGACGGTGAGAGATGCTGACTCAGGGGATACACTTTGTAGAGTATACATTACCCCTGTTCTTGTGTGTTAGACAGTCAACAAGTACGGTAAATACTTGGACATGGAGTGTGGATGACAATTTATTCGTGACGTGGGTCAGAAATTCGTGACGTGGGCGTAGGTCAGTAATTTGTGACGTGGGTCAGTAATTTGTGACGTGGGCGTGGGTCAGTAATTTCTCTGGGCTTCAGTAGTTTTTTTTTTTATTATTATTTTCTACCACAGACGTGGCCACACATTTACAATGCTAACCAGCATATATACATTTTCTTCTGTCCTCCATGGACAGGGTTAGAGAAGTGTTAAACATATAGTTCAAAGGTTTATTGAACACTAAGTGGAAAATTCCAGTTTGTCAGCATGCTGCTGCTACTGGGAACTTTCCTTATTAAGACAACTCATAGATCAGTCGATAGAGCTCCTGCCTCACACACGTGTGTTCCAGGGTTCGAGACATACAGCCCAGGTGAATGGAATTGCAAGTATGGTATTGGGTCTGGTATGGAATACCAGTACGGTATACGTAGATTAACTTCCTTGCTCAGTAGATGTTCACCCCTGTCTTGAATGTTGTCTGACAATTTCAGATAAGAGTGTAGACAGGAATTCTAAATTAGTAGTGAGTACTCCACTATAGATCTGATTTAGGAGCTGAAAAACATTATATGGAGGCGATATAATCCTCTATCATCGAGGTGATGCGCTGACCTCCGTAAACCAGTTAGTTTGATTTAAATGCAATTTGGAAAGTGATAGGTAGTATACCCGAGTTGTAATGTTAAGTCACGCGACAGGAAGGTATAACGTATGTTTCTGTTGGAGAGTCTGTCCTGTCTCTCTGGTGCCTGGAGACAGGCTGTCCTGTCTCTCTGGAGCCTGGAGACAGGCTGTCCTGTCTCTCTGGTGCCTGGAGACAGGCTCTACTGTCTCTCTGGTGCCTGGAGACAGGCTGTCCTGTCTCTCTGGAGCATGGAGACAGGCTGTCCTGTCTCTCTGGTGCCTGGAGACAGGCTGTCCTGTCTCTCTGGAGCCTGGAGACAGGCTGTCCTGTCTCTCTGGTGCCTGGAGACAGGCTGTCCTGTCTCTCTGGAGCCTGGAGACAGGCTCTCCTGTCTCTCTGGTGCCTGGAGACAGGCTGTTCTGTCTCTCTGGAGCCTGGAGACAGGCTGTCCTGTCTCTCTGGAGCCTGGAGACAGGCTGTCCTGTCTCTCTGGAGCCTGGAGACAGGCTGTCCTGTCTCTCTGGAGCCTGGAGACAGGCTGTCCTGTCTCTCTGGAGCTTGGAGACAGGCTGTCCTGTCTCTCTGGAACCTGGAGACAGGCTGTCCTGTCTCTCTGGAGACAGGCTGTTCTGTCTCTCTGGTGCCTGGAGACAGGCTGTCCTGTCTCTCTGGAGCCTGGAGACAGGCTGTCCTGTCTCTCTGGAGCTTGGAGACAGGCTGTCCTGTCTCTCTGGAGCTTGGAGACAGGCTGTCCTGTCTCTCTGGAGCCTGGAGACAGGCTGTCCTGTCTCTCTGGAACCTGGAGACAGGCTGTCCTGTCTCTCTGGAGACAGGCTGTTCTGTCTCTCTGTGCCTGGAGACAGGCTGTCCTGTCTCTCTGGAGCTTGGAGACAGGCTGTCCTGTCTCTCTGGAGCCTGGAGACAGGCTGTCCTGTCTCTCTGGTGCCTGGAGACAGGCTGTCCTGTCTCTCAGGAGCCCGGAGACAGACTGTCCTGTCTCTCTGGAGCCTGGAGACAGGCTGTCCTGTCTCTCTGGAGCCTGGAGACAGGCTGTCCTGTCTCTCTGGTGCCTGGAGACAGGCTGTCCTGTCTCTCTGGAGCCTGGAGACAGGCTGTCCTGTCTCTCTGGAGCCTGGAGACAGGCTGTCCTGTCTCTCTGGAGCTTGGAGACAGACTGTCCTGTCTCTCTGGAGACAGGCTGTCCGGTCTCTCTGGAGCCTGGAGACAGGCTGTTCTGTCTCTCTGGTGCCTGGAGACAGGCTGTCCTGTCTCTCTGGAGCCTGGAGACAGACTGTCCTGTCTCTCTGGAGACAGACTGTCCTGTCTCTCTGGAGCCTGGAGACAGGCTTTCCTGTCTCTCTGGAACCTGGAGACAGGCTGTCCTGTCTCTCTGGTGCCTGGAGACAGGCTGTCCTGTCTCTCTGGAGCTTGGAGACAGGCTGTCCTGTCTCTCTGGAGCTTGGAGACAGGCTGTCCTGTCTGGGGCAACAATAACTTCACGCCATAAGACAGTTTTGTGGGTTTCATTGATGGGATATATAAACAACCTTCTCCTCTCCTGAAAACATCATTGTACAATCACTTACATAGACACTATAGGCACTATACATTAGTCTCTAGTACGCGCTACAGGATGTCGTTGAAATGAGCTGTTCCAACGGAGTGTTCCGATTACTAACCGCGAAGCTCACTCCAGGAAGGTACTCTTACTTTAGGCAAGACAAGTGTATCCGCTGTGTTCCAGCAGTGTCCAAAGCCCGACACGTGTATCCCCTGTGTTCCAGCAGTATCCAAGGCACGACACGTGTATCCCCTGTGTTCCAGCAGTGTACAAGGCCCGACACGTGTATCCCCTGTGTTCCAGCAGTGTCCAAGGCCCGACACGTGTATCCGCTGTGTTCCAGCAGTGTCCAAGGCCCGACACGTGTATCCGCGCTACACTCCACAATCTGGTCCTGTGTCGCGTTTAACTATACTTGCATCTCTGATGTGCATCATTTACCCCGAGAACCATATTGCTTAAGCGTCTGGCTTCCTACCTCCAGCACTCAACACACACGCTGGCAGAAATATAGTTACTACATATAGATATAAGAGCAAGGACGGTAGGGTGGACATGGAGGGTAGGGTGGACATGGACGGTAGGGTGGACATGGAGGGTAGGGTGGACATGGAGGGTAGGGTGGACATGGAGGGTAGGGTGGACATGGAGGGTAGGGTGGACATGGACGGTAGGGTGGATGGACGGTATGGACATGGACGGTAGGGTGGACATGGAGGGTAGGGTGGACATGGACGGTAGGGTGGACATGGACGGTAGAGTGGGCATGGACGGTAGGGTGGACATGGACGGTAGGGTGGGCATGGACGGTAGGGTGGGCATGGACGGTAGGGTGGACATGGACGGTAGGGTGGACATGGACGGTAGGGTGGATGGACGGTAGGGTGGGCATGGACGGTAGGGTGGACATGGACGGTAGGGTGGACATGGACGGTAGGGTGGACATGGACGGTAGGGTGGGCATGGACGGTAGGGTGGACATGGATGGTAGGGTGGACATGGACGGTAGGGTGGACATGGACGGTAGGGTGGCCCTGGACGGTAGGGTGGGCATGGACGGTAGGGTGGGCATGGACGGTAGGGTGGGCATGGACGGTAGGGTGGGCATGGACGGTAGGGTGGACATGGACGGTAGGGTGGACATGGACGGTAGGGTGAGCATGGACGGTAGGGTGGACATGGAGGGTAGGGTGAGCATGGAGGGTAGGGTGGACATGGACGGTAGGGTGGACATGGACGGTAGGGTGGACATGGACGGTAGGGTGGACATGGACGGTAGGGTGGACATGGACGGTAGGGTGAGCATGGACGGTAGGGTGGACATGGACGGTAGGGTGGACATGGAGGGTAGGGTGAGCATGGAGGGTAGGGTGGACATGGACGGTAGGGTGGACATGGACGGTAGGGTGGGCATGGACGGTAGGGTGGACATGGACGGTAGGGTGGACATGGACGGTAGGGTGGACATGGAGGGTAGGGTGGACATGGACGGTAGGGTGGACATGGACGGTAGGGTGGGCATGGACGGTAGGGTGGACATGGACGGTAGGGTGGACATGGACGGTAGGGTGGGCATGGACGGTAGGGTGGACATGGACGGTAGGGTGGACATGGACGGTAGGGTGGGCATGGACGGTAGGGTGGACATGGACGGTAGTGTGGACATGGACGGTAGGGTGGGCATGGACGGTAGGGTGGACATGGACGGTAGGGTGGACATGGACGGTAGGGTGGACATGGACGGTAGGGTGGACATGGACGGTAGGGTGGACATGGACGGTAGGGTGGACATGGACGGTAGAGTGGACATGGACGGTAGAGTGGGCATGGACGTACCTGGCTGGCGGGCATGCGTAGGGTGACGCCAATAGGCTCGGCGTACGGGTCGTCTCTGTACGGCGAGACGTACTCTCTCCGCGCCTGGGGGGGGGGGGAGCATAAGTGGTCAACCATCTTGTTACAGATGTACACAGTGTGTGTGTGTGTGTGTGTGTGTGTGTGTGTGTGTGTGTGTGTGTGTGTGTGTGTGTGTATGCGCGTGTGTGTGTGTGCGTGTGTGTGTGTGCGTGTGTGTGTGTGTTTACTAGTTGTGTTTACTAGTTGTGTTTTTGCGGGGGTTGAGCTTTGCTCTTTCGGCCCGCCTCTCAACTGTCAATCAACTGTTTACTAACTAACTACTAACTTACTAACTACTTTTTTTTTTTTTCCCACACCACACACACACACACACCCCAGGAAGCAGCCCGTGACAGCTGACTAACTCCCAGGTACCTATTTACTGCTAGGTAACAGGGGCACTTAGGGTGAAAGAAACTTTGCCCATTTGTTTCTGCCTCGTGCGGGAATCGAACCCGCGCCACAGAATTACGAGTCCTGCGCGCTATCCACCAGGCTACGAGGCCCCCTACGAGGGTGCGTGTGTGTGTGTGTGTGTGTGTGTGTGTGTGTGTGCGTGTGTGTGTGTATGCGCGTGTGTGTGCGCGCGCGTGTGTGTGTGTGTGCGCGTGTGTGTGTGTGTGTGCGTGTGTGTGTTTGTGTGTTTATATACCACAATCACACACACATGTGAGTCCTCTCACACATGCTAACTCGTGCATTTCATGTAAGCTTTCGCACCTCATACTGATTTCTGATTTTTGAGACTAATGCTAACTCTCACACTTTATGGTAGTCCCTCACACCTCATACAAACTCTCACACTTCATATAAGTGCTAGATAGTCGTAATGGCTTGGCGCTTTCTCTTGATAATTGCCTTCCCTTCACCCTTAATGCTAACTCCTCCTCTTAATGCCAACTCTCACACTTTATGCTAACCCTCATAAGGCCTTCTAACTCTCACACTTCATGCTCTCACACTCTATACTATTCCCGTCACTTGCCCGTGTTCAAACCCCGATGAACACATCACACTAATAACAACCCTCTCATACTAACTCCTCACGCCTTATACTAGCCTCTCACACCACATACTAACTCCGCATTCCCCTCTTCTAACTCCGCATACCTCCCTTCTAACTCCCCACACAACATACTACCGTTCAAAGCTCATACTAGCTCTTCACACCTCATATTTAATCCACCTACGTACTTAACACAAACTCTACTAAGCCATAAAATATCCCACTAACTGTCGGAATAAGCCATCACTGTTTCATACATCAAACGCCCTTACAGTAACCATGTCATACTCTTGTAATGTCACACACACTCACACACACTCCACTAACACTGACACTAACTCCTCACACACACTCATACTAAACCTTCGAACCTTACTCCAACTTTCAAACTAATTCCGCACTCTCCCTCACCATCATAAAAAAAACTTCAAGCCTCACACTTTCATACTACCCAATCAGTATCTTATATGCCCACACTAAATCATCAAATCTCACAATCACGTTCACGCTAACCTCATACTCTCTCATAACTACATACTACATCGTGAAGCCTCACACCCAATTTCATACTAACCCCTCTGTCTCATTTTCTCATACTAAACCCTCAAAACACACTCCCCATGTTCAAACTACTCCCTCACTCTCTCATACAGTTTCAAACTAAACTGCAAACCTCACTCCCACGTTCATACTAGCTTCTCATTCTCTCACTCTCTCATATTTAACCCCAAACTTCACACTTTCATACAAATCCCACACTCTCTTACACTCATATTGAACCTCAAACCTCACATTTCCATACTAACCCCTCATTCTTTCACACCCTCATACTCAACCTCAAATCTTCACTGTCAAACTAACTCTTCACATTCCCTCACCCTCATACTAAACCTTAGACCTCACTCCCATGTTCCTTCTAACCCCTCTCACGCCCTCACTCTAAACCCTCACACCTCACACTAACTCCTCACACCTCACACTATCTCAGGCGCCTCGCTCACTCGCTAAGACAGTTTGGAAGACTAAGTTTTCTTGCAACATTTTCGGACTAACTTCGACGTGACTTCGTTTCACGTAATCTTGACTTTGTTTCAACGTTTCGTCTTGCAGGATCAGTCCTGTGAGTCTGCCTCTCTGTGACGGGGTTCTCACGCCTGTCTAAAAGCCTCTCACTCCTGTCTAACCCCTGCACTGCGCACCTGTTTTTTTTTTTTTTGCCAAAAACTTCATATGGCAATTGTTAAGGACATTTTTTTGTTGTTTTTATAAATGTTTAGGTAAAGTTAATGTTAAACTGTTTCCAAACTCAACTATTTTCATTTCAAAACACAAAGAGTGATGAAAACATTAAAATATAGCCTAATTACACAAAAAAAGCACAACTCTGAAAAAATATTTCTTGGCTGGGGCAGTGCATGCTTCTCAATTCTAAATTACTATCACTCCTATCTAAACGCCTCTCAATTCTGTTTAATTGCCTCTTGAATAGTTTTGGAAATTTTGTTAGAATAAATAATATTGTTGGTTATTATTAGAAACAAAATCAATAAGCCAGCATGACTCTGTTTAGCATTGATGTTGTAAATGTTGTTGTGGTTGTGGTGACTGTGGTGGTTGTGGTGGTTGTTGCTACTGTGGTGGTTGTGGTGGTTGTGGTGACTGTGGTGGTTGTGGTGGTTGTGGTGGTTGTTGTTACTGTGGTGCTTCCTATGTATGTTGTTGAGACATGCGGGTTTGGTCACAAATACAATGATTAGTATTGATGCATGTGGTAATGAAGCATCAATACTAATTGATGCTTCACTGCCACATCAATGATTCTCCTCAATATTTATCTATCATCATTCGGATCCAACCCGTTCTCAGACCAAGTCCAATCCATCCAGCGGCCGACCCCAAAGACGCATTCATCAATTTTAACATGTTGTTTATTCAAATTTCTCAAATTTCTCAAATATAAATTAATATTGTTATAAATTGTCATACTATGCATATTTAGGCATTGGGTAAGTTAGGTTCTGTTAGTGATTATTTGTATTGGTAGTACGTGGGTGAAGCATTTACAGCATTGTGGTTCGAATAAAAGTCGTCAGTGAAGCACTTGTTCCGGAAGTGTTCGAACGTTATTAGTTCCGAGTCGTGGGTTTTTCATTTATAAACAGTGGGTTTGGCGGGTGCATGGAATGGACTTTGGTCTTTGTGTATGAGGACGGGCTGAAGGATCCTGTTAAGGGTTCTACTGTACAGAACTGAGTTCCAGTGATCACTCCATTTAACCGTTATTTATACCATTTAAAATAACCATTTAACTCTGGTACACCTCAGCGTTCGTCTTGACTCATCCTGCGACCTACAGTCAGATCTCAACCCATCCCCAAACCAGGCTCGTTCAAGCTGCGGCCGGCCCTCAAGAACACACTCGTCATTTATTACATAACGTCTAACCATAATCAATATTTTCTTGAAAATAAGTAAATGGTAGTGTTTATACCGTAACTTTATGTATAGACCTAGGTTAGGTTAGGTTAGGTTAGGTGTGTTGCTTCTGTTGGCGATTATTTGTATATACTGTGCTTGGGTGAATCATTTAGAAGGTTCACATTCGAACTCAGGAAAAGAACCGAGTACTGTTTAAGAAATATTCGAACTTGATCAGCCGTGAGTCGTGTGTAGTGTGTGTTTCTCTCATGATCAGGGGGCTCATGAGGCCATTTTTCATGAGGACGGGCCTCCCATGTCCATCCACTCAAATGCCGGTTCACTCTCAAAACGCTTTCACTCATAGAACGGTTCATTTACTGTAACGGACGGTTTACTCATACAACGGTTCATTAATTCATAGAATAATTCACTCACTCCAGCCCGTCCTCGACTCAAGTCCATTACATCCAGCGGTCAACACCACAGACGCATTCATAAATTTTAACATGCTGTTCATTTAAAACGGGAATTTTCTCAAGTATAAATTAATATTATAATATATTGGCATATTGTGTATATATAGGCATAGGATAGGTTAGGTTAGGTGTTTAGGTTCTGTTGGCGATTATTTGTATTTGTAGTACGTGGGTGAAGCATTTACAGCGTTGTGATTCGGAAAAAAATCGTCAGTGAATTACTTGTTCCGGATATGTTCGAACGTCAGCAGTTGTGAGTCGTGTGTAAAGCGCTTTTCATTCATAAACAGGGGGTTTGGTGGGTGCATGGAATCACTTTTGAATCTTTGTTTGGAGGACGGGCTGCTCACTCACACAATGATTCACTCACACAGCGGTTCACTGACTCATAGAACAGCCCGTCCTCCAAACAAAGACCCAAAAGTGATTCCATGCACCCGCGAAACCACAGCTGTTTATGAATGAAAAACAGTTTACACACGACTCACAACTGTTGACGTTCCAACACTTCCAGAACAAGTGCTTCACTGACGAATTTTGTCCGAACCACAACGCTGTAAAGGCTTCACCCACGTACTACAAATACAAATAATCGCCAACAGAACGTAAATACCTAACCTAACCTGTACCTATATATGCACAATATGCTAATATATTATTTATATTAATTTATATTTGAGAAAAATCCTGTTTTGAATGAACGGCATGTTAAAATTTATGAATGCATCTGTGGGGTCGACCGCTGGATGGAATGGACCTGAGGCGAGGACGGGTTGCACATGAGGGGTTCACTAACTCATAGTAGGTCACTCACTCACAAGGAGGTTCATTTACAGAGCAGTCGACTCACATTACAGAACGGTTCAGCTACTTCAGCTTCCGCGCTTACGCCTGATTAGGCGCGTCCAACTGCTGGGTGGGACGCGCCTACTCAGGGTAGGCGCGTCCACCCGGCGGTTGACCCCAAAGACACAATCGTTAAATTAACACACTGCGTATTTAAAAGTTTATTTTCTCACGTAAAATATTATACTAGAACAGTGTTTTTCAACCACTGTGCCACAAAGGTTCCACCGGTGTGCCACAAAGATTCCACAGGTGTGCCACAAAGGCACCAAATGTTTCCCAAGGGAGCTTGAAGGAAGGTTTAAAGTAACGGGAACAACAAGAAAGATGAACATTACCTTTAAAAACAAGTATTTTGAAATCCTTATCTACATTTAAAAAAATATTATTAGAATTTTAGCCGTTAAACTTGTGAAATGTGATCTTAATTCCCGTCTGTATGTGCATAAAGCTTCTCCTTAAGAAAATTTTGGAGTGTCTTAAGAATTTCATGCAGCACCTTGTACATATAAGAATTTTCATATGTGTCGCGATGACCAATGGTGACAGATCTATGTACTAGAATGTGTTTAATAGTTAGGCTTAACTTAGGTTAGGTGGTTGTGTCTAGGTGGCAACTATTGATACTTGAACCTGTCCTGAGGCCAGGCTCGTTAAAGCAGCGGCCGTCCCTTAAAACGCATTGATCAATATGGACGTATTGTGCATTAAAAATAAGCTTGTTCTAATATGTAAATTAATATTACTATGTATTAAAGTTCTATGTACAGTTAGGCGTAGGTTAGGTTAAGTGTTTGGGTTCCGTTGGCTATTATTTATATATGAAGCACGCGGGCGAAACATTTATATCTTTGCGATTCGAATAGAGGTCGTTACTGAAGCACTATCCGAGAAATGTTCGAACGTCGTCAGTTAATGTGAGTTGTTTGCCATTTTTTTTCGTTCATAAACAGGGAATTTGGCGGCTGGATTAATGAGTATTTGGCCTTTGTCGATGAGGACGGCCAGGTAGGCGAATGAAGCATTTAGAGAGATGCCATTCGAGCAGCGGACGTGAACTGCTCAAGAAGAGTACATGCATCAGCTGTGAGTCGCGTGTTAAGGGTTTTTCACTCATAAACACAGGGGGTTTGGCGGCTGGATTAACGATCATTGCGCCTTGGTTGAGGAGGAAGGTTGGGTTGTTCATTAGCAGGACTGTCCACTCAGGCCAGCGAGCGAGGGAGGGACTCACCGGGCGGCCCTGCAGGAGCCAGGTGAGGCCCGGCGTGGGCCCCGACACCGGGAAGTTCTCCGCCAGACACCGTAGCTGAATGTCGTCGTGGGACTCGTACATGTCCCTCGCTCCTGTGATCACTGGCGGGGACGGTGGCTCGTCTGGGGAACAACACAAACATACTATATTATGAATAACACAATAACAATAATAATACACAGGGAAACACATTAACGTGATGCATCAAAGAACAAATCTGCAGGAGCCCTAATGAGGGTTCGAAGCTATGTCTGGGAACATTCAGCGCATTGGTTCGAACCCTCATCAAGGCACCTGCGGATTTGTTAAACGATATTAATATTATTGATAATGATAATAATAATAATAATAATAATGAGAAAATCAGTAGAAGCCGTGAGGAGGATTCGAACCTATATGCTCTAGGTACTCCCAAGCAAATACCTTATACCACTCAACCCGTCCTCAAACTAAGTCCATTCTATCCAGCGGTCGACCCCAAAGACGCATTCATTAACTTTACCATTATGTTCATTCAAAACAGAACTTTTCTCAAATATAAATTAATATTTTTATATATTAGCATGTTGTACATATTTAGGGACGGGTTAGATGAGGTGTTTAGGTTCTGTTGGCGATTATTTGTATTGGTAGTACGTGGGTGAAGCATTTACAGCGTTGTGGTTCGAACAAAAGTCATCAGCGAAGCACTTGTTCCGGAAGTGCTTCTTTCCCTTGGGGCGCCTGACAGCTGAGTTGACAGCGCTTCCGATTCGTAGTCCTGAGGTTCCGGGTTCGATCCCCGGCGGAGGCGGAGACAAATGGGCAAAATGTTTTTCACCCTGATGCTCCTGTTACCTAGCAGTAAATAGGTGCCTGGGAGTTAGATAGCTGCTACGGGCTGCTTCCTGGGGATGTGTAACAAAATGAAGGCCTGGTCGAGGACCGGGCCGCGGGGACGCTAAGTCCCGAAAAGATCTCAAGATAACCTCAAGATAATCTTCCCCTCATAATTCCCGCCCTCCGGAAGTGTTCGGACGTCAGCAGTTGTGAGTCGTGTGTAAACCGTTTTTCATTCATAAACAGCGGGTTTGGCGGGTGGATGGAATGGACTTTGGCTCTTTGTTTATGGTGACTGCCTGGATTACCTAGTGATTCGGTTCGAATCTTCATCACGACTAAATCTGATTTTCTCAATAATAATAATAATAATAATAATAATAATAATAATAATAATAATATAACAATTGTAACATTTGAAAGAAATAATAGATCAGAATGTCGCTATACAGAGTTTCCTAATTGACACACTAATATTAATAGTTTAACATGACGTACGTAAAACATAGAATCTTATGCATTGTCATGGCTGAATTAAAAAAAATAAATATATCAAAACAGTTTCTTATACTATATCTAAATACACTTAATATATGCACAGATCACGGCAAGCAGCTTTCAATAAGTCATTACAGGACAATCAATATAAAAATTATGCAAAAAAATGTATGTTAAATGTATTTATGACATAAACATATGTTGAGGTAAGAAACACTTATTTGCGGTTATTCCCTATCTTAAGGCTCTTGTAAGGTTGTGAACACAGGTATAGAACTGGTCGTAGACGCAGGTGTGGACAGTGGCCAGGTGTGGACAGTGGCCAGGTGTGGACAGTGGCTAGGTGTGGACAGTGGCTAGGTGTGGACAGTGGCTAGGTGTGGACAGTGGCCAGGTGTGGACAGTGGCTAGGTGTGGACAGTGGCTAGGTGTGGACAGTGGCCAGTTGTGGACAGTGGCTAGGTGTGGACAGTGGCCAGTTGTGGACAGTGGCCAGTTGTGGACAGTGGCCAGTTGTGGACAGTGGCCAGGTGTGGACAGTGGCTAGGTGTGGACAGTGGCCAGTTGTGGACAGTGGCTAGGTGTGGACAGTGGCCAGGTGTGGACAGTGGCTAGGTGTGGACAGTGGCTAGGTGTGGACAGTGGCCAGTTGTGGACAGTAGCTAGGTGTGGACAGTGGCTAGGTGTGAACAGTGGCCAGGTGTGGACAGTGGCTGGGTGTGGACAGTGGCCAGTTGTGGACAGTGGCTAGGTGTGCACAGTAGCCTGGTGTGGACAGTGGCCAGTTGTGGACAGTGGCCAGTTGTGGACAGTGGCCAGTTGTGGACAGTGGCTAGGTGTGGACAGTGGCCAGTTGTGGACAGTGGCCAGGTGTGGACAGTGGCTAGGTGTGGACAGTGGCTGGGTGTGGACAGTGGCCAGTTGTGGACAGTGGCTAGGTGTGAACAGTAGCCAGGTGAGGACAGTGGCCAGTTGTGGACAGTGGCTAGGTGTGGACAGTGGCCAGTTGTGGACAGTGGCCAGGTGTGGACAGTGGCTAGGTGTGGGCAGTGGCTGGGTGTGGACAGTGGCCAGTTGTGGACAGTGGCTAGGTGTGAACAGTAGCCAGGTGTGGACAGTGGCCAGTTGTGGACAGTGGCTAGGTGTGGACAGTGGATAGGTGTGGACAGTGACCATGTGTGGACAGTGGCCAGGTGTGGACAGTGGCCAGGTATGGAGAGTGGCTAGGTGTGGACAGTGGCTAGGTGTGGACAGTAGCCAGGTGTGGACAGTGGCCAGGTGTGGACAGTGGCCAGGTGTGGACAGTGGCCAGGTGTGGACAGTGGCCAGGTGTGGACAGTGGCCAGGTGTGGACAGTGGCCAGGTGTGGACAGTGGCTAGGTGTGGACAGTGGCTAGGTGTGGACAGTGGCCAGGTGTGGACAGTGGCCAGGTGTGGACAGTGGCTAGGTGTGGATAGTGGCCAGGTGTGGACAGTGGCCAGGTGTGGACAGTGGCCAGGTGTGGACAGTGGCCAGTTGTGGACAGTGGCCAGGTGTGGACAGTGGCCAGGTGTGGACAGTGGCCAGGTGTGGGCAGTGACCTGGTGTGGACAGTGGCTAGGTGTGGATAGTGGCCAGGTGTGGACAGTGGCCAGGTGTGGACAGTGGCTAGGTGTGGACAGTGGCTAGGTGTGGACAGTGGCCAGGTGTGGACAGTGGCCAGGTGTGGACAGTGGCTAGGTGTGGATAGTGGCCAGGTGTGGACAGTGGCCAGGTGTGGACAGTGGCTAGGTGTTGACAGTAGCCAGGTGTGGACAGTGGCCAGGTGTGGACAGTGGCCAGGTGTGGACAGTGGCCAGGTGTGGACAGTGGCCAGGTGTGGACAGTGGCCAGGTGTGGGCAGTGACCTGGTGTGGACAGTGGCTAGGTGTGGACAGTGGCTAGGTGTGGACAGTGGCTAGGTGTGAACAGTAGCCAGGTGTGGACAGTGGCTAGGTGTGGACAGTAGCCAGGTGTGAACAGTAGCCAGGTGTGGACAGTGGCCAGGTGTGGACAGTGGCTAGGTGTGGACAGTGGCCAGGTGTGGACAGTGGCCAGGTGTGGACAGTGGCTAGGTGTGGACAGTGGCCAGGTGTGGACAGTGGCTAGGTGTGGACAGTGGCCAGGTGTGGACAGTGGCCAGGTGTGGACAGTGGCCAGGTGTGGACAGTGGCTAGGTGTGGACAGTGGCCAGGTGTGGACAGTGGCCAGGTGTGGACAGTGGCCAGGTGTGGACAGTGGCCAGGTGTGGACAGTGGCCAGGTGTGGACAGTGGCCAGGTGTGGACAGTGGCTAGGTGTGGACAGTGGCCAGGTGTGGACAGTGGCCAGGTGTGGACAGTGGCTAGGTGTGGACAGTGGCCAGGTGTGGACAGTGGCTAGGTGTGGACAGTGGCCAGGTGTGGACAGTGGCCAGGTGTGGACAGTGGCCAGGTGTGGACAGTGGCAGGTGTGGACAGTGGCCAGGTGTGGACAGTGGCCAGGTGTGGACAGTGGCCAGGTGTGGACAGTGGCCAGGTGTGGACAGTGGCCAGGTGTGGACAGTGGCCAGGTGTGGACAGTGGCCAGGTGTGGACAGTGGCTAGGTGTGGGACAGGTGTGGACAGTGGCTAGGTGTGGACAGTGGCCAGGTGTGGACAGTGGCCAGGTGTGGACAGTGGCCAGGTGTGGACAGTGGCCCAGTGGCTAGGTGTGGACAGTGGCAGGTGTGGACAGTGGCAGGTGTGGACAGTGGCCAGGTGTGGACAGTGGCCAGGTGTGGACAGTGGCCAGGTGACAGTGGCCAGGTGTGACAGACAGGTGTGGACAGGCCAGGTGTGGACACAGTGGACAGTGGCCAGGTGTGGACAGTGGCCAGGTGTGGACAGTGGCCAGGTGTGGACAGTGGACAGGTGTGGACAGTGGCCAGGTGTGGACAGTGGCCAGGTGTGGACAGTGGCTAGGTGTGGACAGTGGCCAGGTGTGGACAGTGGCCAGGTGTGGACAGTGGCCAGGTGTGGACAGTGGCCAGGTGTGGACAGTGGCCAGGTGTGGACAGTGGCCAGGTGTGGACAGTGGCCAGGTGTGGACAGTGGACAGTGGCTAGGTGTGGACAGTGGCCAGGTGTGGACAGTGGCCAGGTGTGGACAGTGGCCAGGTGTGGACAGTGGCCAGGTGTGGACAGTGGCCAGGTGTGGACAGTGGCCAGGTGTGGACAGTGGCCAGGTGTGGACAGTGGCTAGGTGTGGACAGTGGCCAGGTGTGGACAGTGGCCAGGTGTGGACAGTGGCTAGGTGTGGACAGTAGCCAGGTGTGGAACAGTAGCCAGGTGTGGACAGTGGCCAGGTGTAGACAGTGGCTAGGTGTGGACAGTAGCCAGGTGTGGACAGTGGCCAGGTGTGGACAGTGGCCAGGTGTGGACAGTGGCCAGGTGTGGACAGTGGCCAGTGTGGACAGTGGCCAGGTGTGGACAGTGGCCAGGTGTGGACAGTGGCTAGGTGTGGACAGTGGCCAGGTGTGGACAGTGGCTAGGTGTGGACAGTAGCCAGGTGTGGACAGTGGCCAGGTGTGGACAGTGGCTAGGTGTGGACAGTGGCCAGGTGTGGACAGTGGCCAGGTGTGGACAGTGGCCAGGTGTGGACAGTGGCTAGGTGTGGACAGTGGCCAGGTGTGGACAGTGGACAGTTGTGGACAGTGGCTAGGTGTGGACAGTGGCCAGGTGTGGACAGTGGCCAGGTGTGGACAGTGGCCAGGTGTGGACAGTGGCTAGGTGTGGACAGTGTCCAGGTGTGGACAGTGGCCAGGTGTG